GAGGTTTTTAAAGTCAATGAAAAAGCAACCCAAACCACTAACAAAAACCAACAGACATAATTTCAGATTAGACATGACTATATAAACGCTATCTCTGACCATAAGTCGCCCTTTTTTTTTTACAGTTCTTAGACTAAAGATGATTACCTTTTATAAAATTAATTCAATGAGATATCTTAAAGAAGGAACTTGGTCATGCTTTTCTTACTTTTCTTTATATATATATATTGACCAATGACCATAATATTTTCAGACAGCAATCAACCCATGTTAGATCTTTCACAGTCATGATCATTATCATTTGCATGGTTAATGTTTCAGACCACCACAAACAGGTTTACAGGGAACACATTAGGCGCTGTAACTATTAACACTTCCTCCAGGAAGTGATCCCATCAATTCATTCAACAGTGCTTATCTCATTTCCAACATCCAAAATTGGACCACTTTGGTACAATTACTATTTAAACTAAGTTCAAGCTCTTGGGATAAATTTATAATCATATTGACAAAGCTGCCCTTGAAATTGCCTTAAACAATTTCAGATCTTCATTTCATGCTAATTCAGTGAAATAGAATATGTTCCAAAATTTCAAAAGCTTATATATCTGAAATTAAACATAGATATTGATAGAGCGTGCTAAATAAGATAGGTCTGTGTTTAACTGTGACTTTATGCAATTCAAATATTGTAAAAGTAGCTAATGAAAAAATACACAAAAAGGACTACAGTCAATGACGATGCAAGGACACTAGAAAAACAACTCTTCCAGTAATTAACATGACAAAACCAAAGTCAGTAACCAAACTGATTTACAGTTATTTTTTAGCACAATCATTTTGTTTATTATACCTACACGTATAATTACTATAAATACATAACAGAAACATAAGATAAAAATTTCAAGCTTCCACAAAATGCACTTCTTTTAAACTGGATTTTACTGTGTGTTTATTTATTCTACATTGTATAGAGAAACTAGAGGAGGATTGAGTTCTCACACAACATGTTTTACCCCAGCCACATTATTGCACCTATCCCAAGTCAGGAACCTCTAGCCTTTGTTTGTCTTGTGTGTGTGTTTTTTTGTTTATAATTTTGGTTCATTTGTATGTATTGGAGTTTCAAGGGTTGTGTCCATTTCGCTGAACTAGTGTACACAATAATTAAGGGGTTAGCTGAAGCCCACCTCTGTGTGCCGGATCTATATATATAATTGCTTGCTATGTTAAAGACCCATTATAGTGGCCTTGTTTTCTCTTTGACACATTCCCTGTTTCCATTCTCCATTTTCGTTTTAAAAATAAAACTGGAAATAACCATGCAAGATTTTAAAATTTTCATGTTTTATACCCCTCACTTAGGGGTATTACGTTTTTCGGTCTGTGTGTCAGTTCGTTCATCAGTCTGTCTGTCCCGCTTCGATTAAAGTTTTTTTGTTAAAGTTTTTGGTCAAGGTTGTTTTTGATGTCAACTTGAAACTTAGTACACATGTTCCCTATGATATGATCTTTCTAATTTTTTAGAGTTTTAACCCCAATTTTAAGGTCCACTGAACATAGAAAATGATAGTGCGGATCGGGCATCCATGAACTATGGACACATTCTTATTTTGTAATTAGTTCGTATAACAAAATATTTCACACAGCAAATTGATTAGTTGATATCGATAACAAGAGGAAAACATATGCATATAAACATAAGATAATATAGTCTGTCTATAAAAATCCTATGTTAAAAGTTTTAACCATGAATAACCCAGCTTTTTATTTCCATTTTTCACAATTTTTCCCTACAAATCACATTTTACACAAGAATTACAATTTTTCAAATACTAACTACTATAGGACTCCTTAAGATAAACATCAGATAGTATTTTCTATTTTCTATTTTGATCCCAATTCGAAAGTTCTAACAATCAATAACCGAGATTTTTTTATTTCCAGTTATTGGGATTTTCTGTCTTAAAACAAACATATATTCAACCAAAATTACCCAAATATTAATATTGATAACTAAAGGACTTCACAAAATAAACATAAAATAGTATATTCTTTTTAATATATAGATCAAATTTCAAAAATATTAACCATTAACAATGGACATTCTCTACGTTTCCTGTTTTCGATGTTTTTTTCACTAAAAATCACTCATTTCACCTCAAAATTACCTCAATATGAAAAATAATAACTAGAGGACTACATAATATACTATTAAGATAAGGTTTCCTATCTTCAACAAGCTTTAGGTATAAAAATGTAACCATAAATAACAATTTTTCTTCTTTTCAAGTTTTCAGCATTTTTTCTCTAAAAACCACATATTTTACCCAAAAAAAACCTTGTGTTGCAATTAGTTGGAGGTTGAGTGATTTTAGAGCTAAATTGACTAGGCTAATATTACTGGTAAATTATTAAGGCAGGGATTTCATTACTACAAATTACTTAAAACCTTTACTAAATTCTTCCATAGAGATAAAGATTTGGTTTTGAAGTTTGGTTGTACCTGTAGAAAACTTATTTCAAACAAGATAGCACATCCTCATTGTTACGGAGATGTTGTTTACCGAGCCAGGAAATTTGGAAACGATCCGGGTAAACTTATCGATCCTTTAAATAAACTTATTCTAAAAGGTTACTAATTCAACACTGTAATTAGATCTTTGAATATTGTTTTTATTGGTATTAATGTTGATTTTCTTATCAGTAAATTAAAATCAAACTAAATATTATTTTTATATATATATATGCACATTCATGGCTCTACAATCTGTCGATACCTGTATCTTGGCATTGCACAAGGTCATGTTTTTCTCTGACTGTTTACGACATCTTTACACTAAATCCAATAGATGTTGGATGTGTACTGATTGATATTTTAGTCTTAGTTGCATGATTTTTTTCATTAGTTGTTATTGGCTTTGAACAAGCTATCAGTAACTGCGAGTACTCTCAGATCTGTACTTAGTGTCTTTCTGTTGTGTGGGAGTACAAGTACCCGTCCTCGTTCACTCTGTGTTTTTGTTAGATGTATTTCTATTTGTATCCATCTGATGAGTTAAGCCTTTTTCAACTGTTTTTATAGTTTGTTCTTATGTTGTACCGTTACACGACTGTCCCAGGTTAGGGGGAGGGTTTTGCGCCAACAAACTGGTTTAACCCCGCCACATTCTGTAGGAGCCTGTAGTTCAGTGGTTGTCGTTTGTTGCTGTGTAACATATTTGTTTTTCGTTCATTATTTTGTACATAAATTAGGCCGTTAGTTTTCTCGTTTGAATTGTTTTACATTTGTCATTTCGGGGCCTATTATAGCTGACTATGTGGTATGGGCTTTGCTCATTGTTGAAGGTCGTACGGTGACCTATAGTTGTTAATTTCTGTGTCATTTGGTCTCTTGTGGGGAGTTGTCTCATTGGCAATCATACCACATCTTCTTACTATACGACCCCAAAAAAAATTGCGGTCGTATATTAGTATCACGTCGTCGTCGTCAGTGTCGTCCGAAGACAGTTGGTTTCCGGACAATAACTTTAGTATAATTAAATAGAAATCTATGAAATTTAAACACAAGGTTTATAACCACAAAAGGAAGGTTGGGATTGATTTTGGGGGTTATGGTCTTAACATTTTAGGAATTAGGGGCCAAAAAGGGGCCCAAATAAGCATTTTTCTAGTTTCCAGACAATAATTTGTGGAACGGTGTATGAATCTCTCTGAAATTATACCACAAAGGGATGGTTAGGATTTGCTTTGGGGGGGAGGGGGTTATGGCTCAAACCGTTAGGAATTAGGGGCAAAAAAGGGGAAAAACAAGGGTTTCCTGGTTAATGGACAATTACTTAAGAAAATTTAAAAGCAGTGTAAGGGAGGTAATCCAAACACAACGTTTCGATTACCTCCCTTACACTGCTTTTAAATTATGTATAAAGAAATGTTGTATTGTCTTGAGATGATTTGCTGTCAATTTATTTTTAGATCGAAGTTACTATTAAGGAATATTAATTTTAGCCATGATTATGTATGTCATTTTCTATTTTAAGACTTTTATGATGTATTTAAATGGGTAATTATGGTTGCAAACTCCATTGGAAATTTGAATTAAGTTTATGTCCATATCTTGAGGGAAAGAATTTTTTGGGGGAAAAGGGGGGGGGGGGGGTGAAAAAAGAAATTGTGGGGGGTCAATTTTTTTCTCATTTCAGATTTCAGAAATTAAAAAGAAAAATTCTTCAAATATTATTTTTTTTGCAAAAAAAAGGGGGGGGGGGGTCAATACGCAACAGCATAGTGTATTGCACAAAAGCAAAAAAAAAGGGGGGGGGGTCAATTCGCAACAGCAAAGTGTATTGCACAAAAGCAAAAAATTGAACATAAATTCAAATCATATAACGAACTCTAAGTTCTTTGACTACAGTTATTCTGTGTCAGAAACCTATTATGTGTCAAATATTTAATTACAATCCAAATTCAGACCTGTATCTTAAGCGCGAATATTGTGTCCATTTTTGCCCCAACTGTTCAGGGTTGGACCTCTGCGGTCGTATCCAGCTGCTCTCGGCGAAGCAATTTATTTTTATATGTAAGAACAAAAGAAAGGAAACATTTCTTAATAAATTTTTGCATTAAGAATAATCTAGATTTGTACAAGCAGGTGGTGCATCTTTGTTGAAGGCTCTTCACTGTAGAAAAGACTGGAGCAGTAAAAAATATTCAGGGAATAAATTTTATCACTATTGTAAGAAAATACAATTAACAAATCTGGCCGAAATGGTATGCTTTTTTTTTGTATATGGATTAAAAAATAAAAAAAGACTTATTGTATCTATGATGAATTATATGAAATAGACCTTTTTATATTGAATATGGAATAAACATTTTCAAAATATATAGTTCTACAGAAGCACTCACAATTTCATGAACCAAGGAGATAAATATCAATAGCATTCTATTTCGACTATCTCTGTTTCATTGCAAAACTGGAAGACAAAAATGTAACAACATAAAAGTCATCTTTAATGGTCAATACATTTATTAAAATAGGGTGCACATAAAAAAATGCTGAATTTAGAAATGAAAACTTATTCTTTGTCCCAACTATACATTACGTTGTACAAAGCAGCATTGCCACTACTTTTATCACAAACTAGAAGAGAGTTATTTTCCTTGCAATAGTATACAGCATTTGGTTCGGAGAGGCCGTCATCTTTATTAAGTAATATCTTACTGGCTTTTCCATCATGTTGAATAAGCACTAGATTGTTCGAATCACGCCCAACAACAAATACGTTTTGATTATTGTCAAGAGATAATGCTGTCGGAAAGCGTATGGATTCATCCTTAAATGTCCATATGTCTGTACCGTTCATGGTGCAACAGTGTACAGTATGCAGGGATGAATTTGTGAAGTATATCATTTTACCTGAAGTTGTTATATTTCTCAATTCGATTTTCTTGCATTTAACTTCTCCTACTCGTTTTCCCGAAGGATCAATTACCACAATGCCCTCCTTGCCTCGCGCAACATATAGCTTTCCTTCATTGAACGCTAAGCCAAAACATTTGAATTCTAGCTCCAAAGTCTTCCAAACACAACCATTTTGTATGAGATCGATACGCTTGTTTCTTCCGTGAGAAACAGCCACGCCATCCAAACCACACAATGCTAAATCAAAGGTTAAAAAAGATGTGGCGATGTTACGGATATGTTTTCCGTTTTCAGTGTATTCTTGTATATGACGAGCTGCAGTATGAGTGTTTGCTATCAGAATGTGTCCATTTGGTAAAATTATGCATCCATAAACAAATATGCAATCATCTTTTTTTTGAAGATTCAGTTTTTTGTCTAATTGAAGAACTACATCCTGAATACGACTCTCTTTTATTTGACTTCTCTGTATCTGTGCTTGTCCTATTTTAGAATCATAGAACAATAAACCAGACTCACGTTTTTCAAGCTTGATAACACCAACTCTATCAAATTGTTCGAAAAGATTATCAATAATCGGATAAAAATCAAGTTCAATATTATAACTCCTGGAATGGCTTGTTGCTAACTTTATAGACTTGATCTCTTCATTAACGTCTTTATATACTTGTCGTATGCCGAGAAACACATGAAGGTCAGAAGCGAAATCTTTTAACTTTAGTGTTTTTTCTTTAAGCTTAATCAAATTTATCTCTGCATCTTTAAAATTATTTAAATTTTTGCTGCTTTCAGATACACATTCGTCAGATATTGATGACAGTTCATGTAATAACCTTTCTTGCAACTCGTCAAAGTAACGGACTACTTTCTCTTTGGTGTCTTTAATGGTTTTCTCAATATCTCGTCTTTGGGTCTGGATTGATTCATGTACTGTTTTTCGGTCACGAATAAAATCTTCTATATTTTGTAATGATCTATTAATGGTATCTTCAAGGTCATGAATTACCGTTGAGTGTTTTGCATTTATTGCTACATCCTCCAGAGGCACAACATCCGGGCATATCTTGTGCTCAGAAGACACACAAGCTTTGCAGAGTGCTTCATCGTGACTTTTGCAAAACCAATCAAATGTTTTGTTGTGCTGAACACACGTTTGTTCTATGGTTATATTTTGTATATTACGGTAATTATCTACTGAAATTAGATGATGACCTCGGGAAAATTTTGTCGCCTTGTGAACCTTTTCGCAGTCTGGACAAAATCCTTCCTCGCATTCAACACACCACGTATTAGCTTGCACTGTTTTATTGTGGTAACAACATGGGTCGCAAAAGACAGGCGTTGACATTGTTCTCTACCTATCAATTAAAAAAAAACACTATCAAATACAAAATTGTGGAACAATAAAATTATAGATTAAGCACAAATGTATGACCTCATGTATGGCGAATGAGGTAGGTAAACAAGGGAGGTAATATGACTGTAAATTCAGAAAGTTTTGCGATGTATTTATGATTGCGATAATTGTTACGGGATATGTTTCACAAAATAAAAACTAGCATTTTAAATTTAAGTAGCATAATGTGTATGTAACATGTCATGAAATCGCATTAATTAATCGCGCATGTGTTTCCATAGTTTAGAAATCGCAATAATTAATAAATGTATGCAAAACTTTCTAAATTTACAGTAAAAAAGATACACACTTCTGATCTGTTCATACCAACATTGAACAAACATGTCAATCAGATCTTTATGTGTTTCCTCCCGAAAAAATCCATCATAACGACTTCGATTGGGAAAAGCGATGTAGAAAACAACAAAATACGATAATCCACTGTTAAGTGTACATTTGTTTATCGATTCTTTTAATGTAAGAAGAAGGAGAGACTGATATCAAGAAATCAAGTCATTAACAAGACAACCGTGACCATAACCAAAACGGAAAACAGACGAAAAGACGGACGACAGTCCCCCAAACTCTACACAGAAAACAAGAGATTGTTTATTACGAAACCCACTAGAACACTATTTAACTTCAGTGCTCCGGAAGGGTTAGCAGTTCCTGCTCTACTAGTGGTACTGGCCATGTTAGTCATTGGAAGTAAATGTTCTTTGATAAATCGTGTTCGGTGATTTCATCATTACGCATTTGTAACCCTTGGTTCAATAAATTCCTTGTACGTGTGAGATTGATTGATTGTTGTTTGCTTTACGTCCAGTGACAAGTATATATCATTTGTTATCGTCCTAATACTTTTATTTGGATTTCAGTTTCATTATTATAAGTAGTATGGTACGAAATGCGACATAACAGGAAATATATAAGTTTCCAAATTCATAAATTAATGCGAATCAAAAAGAGATCTTTTATGAAAATAATCGTTTTTATATAATTATTTTGCGTTGAACAACAATAAAAAATTCCCCACTGGTGGTAATATTGGACAAATGGTAGGCAAATCAACAGCATTTCTGAAAAATTATTCAAATTAAGACATTTTACAAGAAAAAATATGAATTTGAATAAGCTATAGATTTATAAGAATTTCTTTATTATAGTAACAGTCATTACGGCTAGTCTACAGGGACAGCTGTAAGACTGCTTTCAACAGCATTTCATTGAAGGCATTAATGTTGAAACTTCTATCTTTATTTTTTTATAGAAAAAAATAAAATTACATGCCTTCGCGACCGGCTCTTATGTTCTATAACAGTAACTGCGGCTATTTTATAAGGTCCAAGGGCTTAATTGACACAAATTTAAAACTATATTGGATGCTAAGTTTGGTGTGATAGGACGACGACGACAGATGCCAGTTATTGCTATACGTTAAATGGCTTTGAAAGCCCCGGTGAACTAGAGGGGATTGTTCTTTATTGTAGTTATGTTAACAAATGCTCCTAATTTCTAACACGGAAGTTAAATATACAAATACAAGGTTAACATTGAAATCGTTGAATAACAAAAAAAATAGTGTGTATGATATTGTTTACTACTACACTTACTCTATATTCCTGTGTTGCTGAGCGTTTTAAGTTCCTTTAATTGTTATTTCAGTTACATTTTCTTTGCCCGACTCAGATTTGCTGTATGATCTTCCATATCAACGTATGTCGTATATCAGTAATAGTATTAATAAATGTAAATCGATAACGAGACTTTACAATTTAAACTCGGTAGTATCGAGCGAAGAAGGCGGGAAATTTGAAAAAAAATATCAGACTGACGTTATCAATATCAAACCGTCCACAACGGATGGGTGTCAGCTGAATTTCTGCAAATTGCTAGGGACAGACCCCTTTACCATCATTTCTTAAAAAAAAGTAATTCCTTTCAGAAAGGAAGTGAAAGAAAAAAGTTAGTTTCCAATGGAAATAAAAAAGGGAAAAAAATGATAAAAGGTAACATTGAGTTTTTTGTTGTTCCTGTATTTTATATGATTTTTTTGTTCAATCATTAATGAAAATGAAAACGTGAAATAATAATTCGCTTTTAGCAGCCAGCTCGGTTCAATTTTATCAAAATAAGCGAAGAAGCATTGTTGATGAATTATTCACTTGCAAGTGAATGATTCGACCACATTGAATCCGTATTCTTGTGACTTCTATTTAACCCCTTAGCTAGAGATGGGTTACGCATGAACTAGGCGTGTTCAGCTATTAAAAGGAAAAGAATGTCAACAATGAAAGTGAAACAAGGGTAAACCATTTGGTTGACCGATTCGATCCACAAAAACTCATTCTTATACAGGTAAAAACGATGATTAACATATTTGTTTAACCTACAATATGAAATCAAACAGACCTAGAAAAAATCCCATTGCACGTGTTCACTGTTTATTTAGATCTATATTTATGTTTATATTGGGTTATATGACCGGCGGCAGTCTTCGGAGGTCACATCGATGGTTAATTAGTATGCGTCTAGACTAAAATATTCACGAAATGCGGATACATATTTTCGAGACCATGTATTGCTAATTGTTCATTTTAGACTTTTTGCAAGTTGGATATACGTTTTAGTAGGTTTTAAATCAAATATGAGAATTTGAGTCAAATCGGTAAACATGAATTTGACAGAAAATGCCCCTTCAAAGTTGAAGAAATAATTTGTCCGAGAATAAAAAACTAAAGCTGCATGTCGGTACCTTCAACATTTGATAAATAGGGTCAATCTATTCTTTTCTGCCGAGTAAATCTTAAACAGTCATTATCTTAGCCAAGCAGGGGTTCGACATTAACTTTTTTAACAACTTGACATTCGAGCAAGTAACCATGATGTATTACTTATCCGAAAGAGATAACCACTTGTCCAAATTTTGTACTTGCTTACGAAATTTTAGACTGCTATTTATGAACATAAAATCAGATAAATGCAACTAAATAAGGAATGAAATGTAGTCGATTACCGAAAGTGTCGTACCAAGCCACTTGAACAACACCAGTTCACCATTGACCTTAGAGCAAAGTCAAAGCCGAATCTATGGTTTAATTCATAACATATAATTTTGTAGTTTTCTGTGTTTATGTCTTGTTGCTAGAACTTATGTGTCTGTCCTGTACAGTATATATATATATGTGTGTGTGCGCGCAAGCGGTGTTGCCACGATGTCACAGAAGTAAGGGTTCGAATCCCGCTGAGGGAAGAACAAAAAATTACTTACGCAAATTTGAAGATTTAACATTGTTGGGCTAAATCTGAGACAAATTAAGGACATTTATCTCGTCAAGTATATGAACTAAGAATATTTAACTCGTCAAGACTTAGTGTCTGGACTTAATATATTTATGTTGTCAAGTGTCTGGACTAAGGATATTTAAAAAGTCAAGACGTAGTGTCTGGATTAAGGACATTTATCTCGTCAAGTATATGAACTAAGAATATTTAACTCGTCAAGACTAAGTGTCTGGACTTAAGATATTTATGTCGTCAAGTGTCTGACTAAGGATATTTATCTTCTCAAGTGTCTGGACTAAGAATATTTATCTCGTCAAGTTTTTGAACTGAAACTATTTATCTCGTTAAGCGTCTGATTAAGGATATTAATCTTGTCAAGTGTTTGGACTGAGAATATTTATCTGGTCAAGGTTCTGGACTAAGTATTTTTATCTCGTCAAGTGTCTGGACTGAGTATATTTATCTCGTCAAGTGTCTGGACTAAGGATTTTTATCTCGTCAAGTGTTTGGACTAAGAATATTTAACTCGTCAAGTCTCTGGACTAAGTATATTTATCTCGTCAAGTGTCTGGACTAAGTATATTTATCTCGTCAAGTGTCTGGACTAAGAATATCTATCTTGTTAAGTGTCTGAACCTAGGATTTTTAACCGTCAAGTGTCTGGACTAAGGATATTTATGTCGTCAAGTGTCTGGACTAAGAATGTTTAACTCGTCAAGTGTGTGAACTACGGATATTTAAATACTCAAGACTTAGTGTCTGGATTAAGGACATTTACCTCCTCAAGTATATGAACTAAGAATATTTATCTCGTCAAGTCTCTGGACTAAGGATTTTTATCTCGTCAAGTGTCTGGACTGAGTATATTTATCTCGTCAAGTGTCTGGACTAAGGATTTTTATCTCGTCAAGTATTTGGACTAAGAATATTTAACTCGTCAAGTGTCTGGACTAAGTATATTTATCTCGTCAAGTGTCTGGACTAAGTATATTTATCTCGTCAAGTGTCTGGACTAAGAATATCTATCTTGTTAAGTGTCTGAACCTATGATTTTTAACGGTCAAGTGTCTGGACTAAGGATATTCATGTCGTCAAGTGTCTGGACTTAGAATGTTTAACTCGTCAAGTGTGTGAACTAAGGATATTTAAATACTCAAGACTTAGTGTCTGGATTAAGGACATTTATCTCGTCAAGTATATAAACTAAGAATATTTATCTCGTCAAGTCTCTGGACTTAGGATTTTTATCTCGTCAAGTGTCTGGACTGAGTATATTTATCTCTTCAAGTGACTGGACTAAGGATTTTTATCTGGCCAAGTGTTTGGACTAAGAATATTTAACTCGTCAAGTCTCTGGACTAAGTGTATTTATATCGTCAAGTGTCTGGACTAAGTATATTTATCTCGTCAAGTGTCTGGACTAAGAATATCTATCTTGTTAAGTGTCTGAACCTTGGATTTTTACCCGTCGAGTGTCTGGACTAAGGATATTTATGTCGTCAAGTGTCTGGACTAAGAATGTTTAACTCGTCAAGTGTGTTAACTAAGGATATGTAAATACTCAAGACTTAGTGTCTATATTAAGGACATTTATCTCGTCAAGTATATGAACTAAGAATATTTATCTCGTCAAGTCTCTGGACTAAGGATTTTTATCTCGTCAAGTGTCTGGACTGAGTATATTTATCTCGTCAAGTGTCTGGACTAAGAATTTTTATCTCGTCAAGTGTTTGGACTAAGAATATTTAACTCGTCAAGTGTCTGGACTAAGTATATTTATCTCGTCAAGTGTCTGGACTAAGTATATTTATCTCGTCAAGTGTCTAGACTAAGAATATCTATCTTGTTAAGTGTCTAAACCTAGGATTTTTAAACGTCAAGTGTCTGGACTTAGGTATATTCATGTCGTCAAGTGTCTGGACTAAGGATATTTATCTCGTCAAGTGTGTGAACTAAGGATATTTGAATACTCAAGACTAAGTGTCTGGATTAAGGACATTTATCTCGTCAAGTATATGAACTAAGAATATTTAACTCGTCAAGACTTAGTGTCTGGACCTAAGATATTTATGTCGTCAAGTGTCTGGACTAAAGATATATAAATAGTCAAGACTTAGTGTCTGGACTAAGGATATATATCTCGTCATGTGTCTGAACTAAGAATATTTAACTTGTCAAGTGTCTGGACAAAGAATATTTAACTTGTCAAGTGTCTGAAATAAGGATATTTATCTTTTTATCTTGCCAAATAAGTGTTTGGAATAAGGATATTGATCGAAAAGAGTCAATGCTTACAGAAAATTCATTTTAATGTTGTCTTAAATAGATTTGTACGAAGAGAATAAAAAGGCAGTTTTCTGTTTAATCAACTAAATAGCATACCAAACATACCTTTAAGTTGTAAGCTACAGCATATTGACCTATAGGACAAAATCGAGGTTCGTGCCAATCACCCCCAGGGACCACCATAGCCACTGTATAATGTTTCCACAACCCGTCTTGTGTACATAGCCTGTATAATACACAGTACTAAACTAAATAGTACCAATGGGATATACTTTCTAAAATAAAAACCATACACATGTTAATTGAGGACATTTCAAAGTTATCTCGTCAAGTGTCTGGACTAAGGATATTTATCTTCTCAAGTGTCTGGAATAGAATATTTATCTCGTCAAGTTTTTGAACTGAAACTATTTATCTCGTAAAGCGTCTGATTAAGGATATTAATCTTGTCAAGTGTTTGGACTGAGAATATTTATCTGGTCAAGGTTCTGGACTAAGAATTTTTTAACTCGTCAAGTGTCTGGACTAAGGATATTTATCTCGTCAAGTGTCTGGACTAAGGATATTTATCCCTTCAAGTGTTTGGACTAAGGATATTTATCTCGTCAAGTGTCTTGACTAAGAATATTTAACTCGTCGTCTAGTGTCTTAACTAAAAAAAATTATCTCGTCAAGTGTCTGACTAAGGATATTTATCTTTTCAAGTGTCAGGACTAAGAATATTTATCTCGTCAAGTTTTTGAACTGAAACTATTTATCTCGTTAAGCGTCTGATTGAGGATATTAATCTTGTCAAGTATTTGGTCTGAGAATATTTATCTGGTCAAGGTTCTGGACTTAGAATATTTAACTCGTTAAGTGTCTGGAATAAGGATATTTATTTCGTCAAGTGTCTGGACTAAGGATATTTATCTCGTCAAGTGTTTGGACTAAGGATATTTATCGCGTCAAGACTTAGTTTCTGGACTAAGGATATTAATGTCGTCAAGTGTCTTGACTAAGGATATTTATCTCGTCAAGTGTCTCGACTAAGAATATTTAACTTGTCATGTGTCTGAAATAAGGATATTTCTCTCGACAAATAAGTGTTTTGAATAAGGATATTGATCAAAAAGAGTCAATGCTTACACCGAATTTATTTTAATTTTGTCTTAAATAGATTTGTCCGAAAAGAATAAGAAGACAGTTTTCTATTTAATCAACTAAATAGCATACCCAACATACCTTTAAGTTGTAACCTACAGCATATTGACATGTAGGACAAAATCGAGGTTCGTGCCAATCACCCCCAAGGACCGCCATAGCCACTGTATAATGTTTGCACAACCCGTCTTGGATACATAGCCTGTATGATACACAGTACTAAACTAGTACCAATGGGATATACTTTCTAAAAATAAAACCATAAACATGTTAATTTAGGACATTTCAAAGTTATCTCGTCAAGTGTCTGGACTAAAAATATTTAACTCGACGTCAAGTTTCTTAATTAAAAACAAATATCTCGTCAAGTGTCTGACTAAGAATATTTATCTTCTCAAGTGTCTGGACTAATAATATTTATCTCGTCAAGTTTTTGAACTGAAACTATTTTTCGCGTTCAGCGTCTAATTAAGGATATTAATCTTTTCAAGTGTTTGGACTGAGAATATTCATCTGGTCAAGGTTCTGGACTAAGAATATTTAACTCGCCAAGTGTCTGGACCTAGGATATTTATTTCGTCAAGTGTCTGCTCTAAGGATATTTATCTCGTCAAGTGTTCGGACTAAGGATTTTTATCTCGTCAAGTGTCTTGACTAAGAATATTTAACTCGTAGTCAAGTGTCTGAATAAAAAAAAATATCTCGTCAAGTGTCTGACTAAGGATATTTATCTTCTCAAGTGTCTGGACTAAGAATATTTATCTCGTCAAGTTTTTGAACTGAAACTATTTATCGCGTTAAGCGTCTGATTGAGGATATTAATCTTGTCAAGTGTTTGGACTGAGAGTATTTATCTCGGTCAAGGTTCTGGACTAAGAATATTAAACTCGTCAAGTGTCTGGACTAAGGATATTTATTTCGTCAAGTGTCTGGACTAAGGATATTTATCTCGTCAAGTGTTTGGACTAAGGATATTTATCTCGTCAAGTGTCTTGACTAAGAATATTTTACTCGTCGTCTAGTGTCTGAACTAAAAAAACTTTATCTCGTCAAGTGTCTGACTAAGGATATTTATCTTTTTTAACTGTCTGGACTAAGAATATTTATCTCGTCAAGTTTTTGAACTGAAACTATTTATCTCGTTAAGCGTCTGATTAAGGATATTCATCTCGTCAAGTGTTTGGACTAAGGATATTTATCTCGTCAAGTGTCTTGACTAAGAATATTTAACTCGTCGTCTAGTGTCTGAACTAAAAAAACATTATCTCGTCAAGTGTCTGACTAAGGATATTTATCTTTTCAAGTGTCTGGACTGAGAATATTTATCTGGTCAAGGTTCTGGACTAAGAATATTTAACTCGTCAAGTGTCTGGACTAAGGATATTTATCTCGACAAGTGTCAGGATTAAGGATATTTATCTCGTCAAGTGTCTGGACTAAGAATATTTATCTCGTTAATAAATAGTGTCTGGATTAAGGATATTTATGTCGTCAAATGTCTGGACTAAGGATATTTATCTCGTCAAGGCCTGACATAAAGATATTTAAATAGTCAAGACTTAGTGTCTGGACTAAGGATATTTATCTCGTAAAGTGTCTGGACTAAGGATATTTAAATAGTCAAGATTTAGTGTCTGGACTAAGAATATACATCTCGTCATGTGTCTGAACTAAGAATATTTAACTTGTCAAGTGTCTGGACTAAGAATATTTAACTTGTTAAGTGTCTGAAATAAGGATATTTATCTCGCCAAATAAGTGTTTGGAATAAGGATATAGATCGAAAAGATTCAATGATTATAGCGAATTATTTTAATGTTGTCTTAAATAGATTTGTACGAAGAGAATAAGAAGACAGTTTTCTGTTTCATCGACTGAATAGCATACCCAACATACCTTTAAGCTGTAACCTACAGCATATTGACCTGTAGGGCAAAATCGAGGTTCGTGCCAATCACCCCATGGACCACCATTGCCACTGTATAATGTTTGCATAACACGTCTTGGATACATAGCTTGTATAATACACAGTACTAAACTGAATAGTATCAATGGGATATACTTTTAGAAATAAAAACTATAAACTGTTAATTTAGGATATTTGAAATTTATCTCGTCAAGTGTCTGAACTAAGCTGGACTAAGGTTATTTATCTCGTCAAGTGCCTTGACTAAGAATTTTTAACTCGTCGTCAAGTGTCTGAACCAAAACAATTTATCTCGTGAAGTGTCTGATTAAGGATATTTATCTTCTCAAGTGTCTGGACTAAGAATATTTATCTCGTCAAGTTTTTGAACTAAAACTATTTATCTCGTTAAACGTCTGATTAAGGATCTTAATCTCGTCAAGTGTTTGGACTAAGCATATTTATCTCGTCAAGTATCTGGACGAAGGATATTTAACTAGTCAAGACTTAGTGTCTGGACTAAGGATATTTATCTCGTCAAGTGTCTGAACTTAGAATATTTAACTTTTCAAGCGTCTGGACTAAGTGTCTATGAATCACAGTTTATGGCCAAACTCAGTAAAGACACATCATTGTTACATTTGGGTGACACATTCAACAATACCTACCGTTATCTTGATGATATGTTTTCGTTTAATAATCCAGAGTTCTCTAAATATAATACCGAAATTTGCCCAAAGGAACTTTCTTTAAATAAATCTAACATAAACAGCAGTAGTTGTCCTTTTCTAGATTTAGACATTTCTATTTCTAAAGGGAAACTCCATACTAATATTTACGAGAGACGATTTTTCATTCCTTATTGTTAATTTTTGCTTTTTTAGACGGCGATGATCCTCTGGCTCCATCACACGGTGTTTATATATCTCAACTCGTTCGTTATGTCCGTGTGTGTGGTGATGCCATAGTTTTTAACGAAAGTAATCAATGCATCACTTGTAAATCATTAAGTCAGGGATTTTGTTACAATAAATTAAAAACATTTACTAAATTCTTTTATAGATACAAAGATTTGATTAGTAAATTTGGCTGTATGCTTATAGCGAATTCATTTTAATGTTGTCTTAAATTTCGTTATCAATGAGATTGAGATGTGTTGTGTGTGTATGAAATTGGATCGAAGCATTATTTGCCGTTCCCATAAATAAACGCACTATTAAATTGACGTAAAAGAACGGAGCAAACTGAATAAATGGCATACTTAAACTATTTACAATGACATATTTAGATAGGTTTGAATGAATCTAAATGATAATTGTATTCATATATCTTATATGGAAACAAAAATGGCTTATATAACACATTTTAGCATCGTTTGTTTACGTTTCCTTGTTGTGATGATTTTCGGTTTCACAAGCGTGTATTTTCCCGTAAAATGCTTATATTCTTACGTCATCGTTCTATGACGTCGGGTAGCTCATTCATAAAAAAGCATATGACGCGGGAGTACGATCGGAACAGCCCAAACAATATATTCATATTTTAACACGGGTGTGTACTCAAAGCGTTTGAAGAACGTCATGTTAGAATCACTGTATTAGTATCAGATTGCAGAAATTACTAACATGATAATTATTGTAATATACCGAAAAACTAGAAATTCACGTTTCCATAAAAGTTTTTAAATTTACAGAAAACAAAATCTTTCTTGGTAAATAGAAAACCAAGAATGACAATAAAGTTAAGATAAATTCATCCAAAATGAAAGCCATTGTTTAGTCCTTTTAAGACGAACGTTCGTCTGGCGTACCAAAAATTAGAACAATAACAGTGCCAATACCAAGAATATATGTCCACAGGACACCATGCCCAGCTCGCACTATCACATTTTCGTGTTCAGTGAACTGCAAATATATATAAACATTATAAGTTGGCATAAATTTCAAATCATAATGAACCTGTGTACTAAGTTTCAAGTTAATCTGGCCACACCTTCATTTTTAACTACCCTTATCCAAAACGTTAACCTGAAACAGGACTGACAGACAGACGGACTAAGGGGGACACAAATACGGACAAACGGACGCACATGTCGGGCTATACAAAAATTAACCTGAGGTCTGAATACAAATTACAAGTAATTAGCAGTAATAGATAACTTTTATGCAATAAGGTATGTAATGCAAATTTTGATTGGATGACGTCCGTCATCAATTCAACGGTTGACGGCCGGAGTCAATGACCAAGAACCAAGGAGATAGATATGGATAGCATTCTATTTCGAATACACCTGTTCCATTGCAAAACTGCAAGACAAAAAATGCAACAACATAAAAGTTAATGGCGTATACAGTTATTGAAATAGGGCACACATTAAAAAAGCTAGTTTTAGAAATTAATTTTTGTTCTTTTTCTTAACTACAATACGTTGTACAAAGCAGCATTGCCACTAGTTTCATCACAAACTAGAAGAGAGTTCTTTTCCGTGCTATAGTATACAGCATTTGGTTCGGAGAGACCGTCATCTTTATCAAGAAGAATCTTGCTTGCCTTTCCGTCATGTTGAATAAGCACTAGATTGTTCGAATCACGCCCAACAACAAATATGTTTTGATTGTTGTCAAGGGATAAAGCTGTCGGATAGCGTATGGAATCATCATTAAATGTCCATATTTCGGTGCCGTTCATGCTGCAACAGTGTATAGTATGCAGTGATGAATTTGTGTAGTATATCTTTGTACCTGAAGTTGTTATATTTCTTAATCCGATTCCCTTGCATATCACTTCTCCTGTTCTTTTTCCCGAAGGATCAATTACCACAATTCCCTCCGTGCCTCTCGCAACATATAGCTTTCCATCATTGTACGCCATGCCATATAATTCGAATCCTAGCGCTAAAGTCTTCTCAACACAACCATTTTTTATGAGATCGATACGTTTCCTACTTCCGCAAGACACAGCCACGCCATCCGATCCAAACAAAGCTATATCAAAAGATGGATAAGATGTAGGGATGTTACGGGTATGTATACCGAATGCATTGTATTCTTGTATATGATTAATTTTAGTATGGAAGTTTGCTATAAATAGATGTCCATTTGGTAAAATTATGCATCCATTAACATGTATGCAATCATCTTTTTTTTGAAGAGTTATGTTTTTGTTTAATTGAAGAACTACATTTTGAATACACTTCTCTTTTATCTGGCTTTTCTGTATCTGTGCTTGACCTATTTTAGCATCATATAACAGTAAACAAGAATCACGTTTTTCAAGCTTGATTGCACCAACTTTATGAATTTGTTCGAAAAGATTATCAATAATCGGATGAAAGTCAAGTTCAATATTATAACTCCTAGAATGGGTTGTTGCTAAATTGATAGACTTGATCTCTTTATCGACGTCTTTGTATACTTGTCGCGTGCCGAGAAATACGTGAAGATCAGAAGCGAAATCTTTCAGCTTTAATGTTTGTTCTTTCAGATTTATCAAGTTTTTCTGTGCATCTTCAAAATTATTTAAATTTATGCTGCTTTCAGATAAACATTCGTCAGATATTGATGACAGTTCTTGTAATAACCTTTCTTGCAACTCGTCAAAGTAACGGACGACTTTCTCTCTGGTGTCTTTAATGGTTTTCTCAATATGGCGTCTTTGGATCTGGATTGATTCATATACTGTATTTCGGTCACGAATAAAATCTTTTACATTTTGTAATGATCTATTAATGGTATCTTCAAGGTCCTGAATTACCGTTGAGTGTTTTGCATTTATTGCTACATCCTCCAGAGGCACAACATCTGGGCATATCTTGTGATCAGAAGACACACAAGCTTTGCAGAGTGCTTCATCGTGACTTTTGCAAAACCAACCAAATTGTTTGCTGTGCTGATTACAGGTTTGCTCAACTGTTACATTTTGTATATTACGGTAATTATCTATTGAAATGAGATGATGACCCCGGGAAATTTTTGTCGCCTTATGAACCTTTTCGCAATCTGGACAAAATCCTTCATCGCATTCAACACACCATCTATTAGCTTGCACTGTTTTATTGTCATAACAACATGGGCCACAAAAGACAGGCGTTGACATCGTTCTATACCTAATTAGAATAATAAATTTCCAATAAATAAAATTATAGATTAATTAAAATGTATGGCGTATGAGGTAAGTTCAAAAGAGAGATAATATACATTGTAAATTCAGAAATTTTGCGCTGTTTTTATTTTTGGAAAATTGATACGGGATATGTTTCACAAAATTAAAAGTCGAATTTTAAATTGCAGAAGCATTATTTGTATGCAATATTTCATAAAATCGCAATAAATAATCTCGCATTTGTGTCGATAGTTCAGAAATTGCAAAAATAAACCCACGTAAAACATTTCTGACTTCACTTCACAATAAAAGAGACACACTTCTGATCTGTTCGTACCACCATTGAACGATCATGTCTCTTTATGGGGTTTTCACCCGAAGAATCCATCATTAAGGTTAGGAAAAAACGATATGGAAAACAACAAAGTAATGGGGTCGTCAAGTTGTTTACATATTCCTTATTACTTATTCCTCATTCGTTACTTATTTCTTATTCGTTACTTATTCCTTATTCGTTACTTATTCCTTATTCGTTACTTATTCCTTATTCGTTACTTATTCCTTATTCGTTACTTTTCCGCTTTTAATATGTTGCTCCCTTTTAATGCTTTATTTTCTTTTCTTCACCCTGATGTAATTTCCGGGTTCGAGGCAGGAAAATGACCCTGTTAGCGCGTATGTACCCGTTTCATCCCTCGACAGATACCCTGTTTATTATTCTCTACTTATTTGCTTTTTAAACGTTGACTATTTTTAAAATGCTCCTTTCTTTTATTCTCTTGTCTTTGATATTGTCATGAAATAGAAGTTCCTTCGTAATATAAGTTCCAAGTTGAACAAATATTCTGTAGTATATATTCAACAGGAACATTTATTATAGGATTTGTTCCTAGCGGGAAAATGTTTTATAGAATATTTGTTCCAACACGAACAGATATCATGGCATTGTTCAATACAAATTTTCCAGGGGAAGTTCTGTAAGGCAGATCTAATATTTGTTGGCAATGTTAGTCCTAGGTTCGTTGTGTTGAAATGACCCTGTTAGCGCATATGCATCGGTGTCTGCTCTTGACTGATACCTGCTACTTATTGGCTATGTATTCGTTCATGGCCCCTTTGTAATGATTTCCTTTTTTCCATTTCATCTCTTTGTTGTTAGTCCTGGTTTCGTGGAGTTGAAATAACCCTGTTAGCGCGTATGTACCCGTTTCCGCGCTTGACTTATTCACTTGTTTCACGTTGCACCTTTTTAAGGCTTTATTTTCGTTTTTTTCTTGTCTCTAATGTGAATTACGGGTTCGGCGATGTCAGTGACGATAACCCTACTCGTCATTGCGCTTGGCAGATGCCCTGATACATATTCGTTCCTTATTCGTTTTTTTGAAAGTTTCTTCCTTTTGAGGTACATATGCGCTAAGAGGATTTGCCCGAGAACACAGTTTTTTCTTAGTGCATTTCTTTTAGACAATACGTTCAAATTAAAAAAAATCGAACTTGATCTATCTAAAAAAAATTTTTACAGTGCAGTGTACTACTTTTTGGACAAGTAATATCAAATTATAGTACAGTCTACCAGCTCTAACTCAAAATATGGGCAATTCTATGTTAAGGGGGTGTATTTTTCAGTTTGACAGCTTCAGACATACTAATTTTTGACCTTTTTTATCGACACCAAATCTACTTAGCATTAAAATTCATCACCCAAATGTTTTTACATGTAATTTCATCCCCCACGTAATATTTCATGCATAACATATAAAAAAATAAATTTGGAAAGTCTATGAAAAAAATTTGAAAGTTATACACTGTCCACGCTAGGGACTATATTTGTATAACCAAAATCAAAGGACGATAACTGTGTCCTCGGGCCAGTTTTTATCAACTCCACGAACCAAGGACTAACACCAAAGACACGAAATGAAAAAAAAAAACGAAATCATTAAAAAGGGGCAACGTATAAAAAGCGAATAAGTAACAGGGTATCAGTCAAGCAGAGAAACGAGTACATGTGCGCTAACAGAGTAATTTGACCTCTATGAACCAATAACTAACACCAGAGACAAGGAAATAAAGGAAAAGAACATTACAAAAAGAGACAACGTATAAAAAAAACGAAAAAGGAACGAATAAGTGGCAAATGAGTAACAGGGTATTAGTCAAGCGCAGACACGAGTACATGCGTGTCAACAGGGTAATTTGACCTCTATACACTCAGGACTTACACCAGAGACAAGAAAATAAAAGAAAGGCACATTCTTAGAAAGGACAACGTTTAAAAAGCGAATGAGGAACGAATAAGTAGCGAATACGTAACAGGGTATAGTCGAGCGCGGAGACAGGGACATATGCGCCAACTGGGTAATGTCACCTCTACGAACCTATAACTGACATCAGAGACAAGAAAATAACAGAACAAAAAATTATGTAGAAAAAAGCGGATAAGGAACCGATAAGTAGCGAATAAGTAAAATGGATATTAGTCGAGCGCCGAAACGGGTACGTACGCGCTAACATGATAATTTCACCTCCTCGAATCCGTTACTAACACCAGGGTGAAGAAAAGAAAGCATTAAAAGTGGACAACATATTGAAAGCGAATAAATAACGAATAAGGAATAAGGAATAAATAACGAACAAGGAATAAGTAACAAATAAGGATTAAGGAATACGCAACCAACTTGACGACCTGAAGATAAGCGGAAAATTTGGAATGCCAATGGATGGAAAAAGAGGGTATATTAGATAGGGACAGAAAGTCAGCCTTACAACAGAGCACCTACAGACCATCAGAGGGTTACCAGGGTTCTTAACGTGCATATACAGTGATATTCTCTCTACACGAGGTATCGGATATAACGTCCTTATTTAGACCAGCCGTATATAATTTCATCTCCCCTCCCTGACGTGTTTCCGATTTCATAACTCATTCAAGCCAATAGAATCTCAGCCCAACTGTTACAATAACTAACCAATCAGAACTAACTGGCGTTTAGTTTAAAGTTTCCAGATGGTGTGTATTATAATGTATATCGACTGAATCTAAATTGATGTGAAGCAAAAAGAGATCTTTTTGTGAAATGAGATAGTCTTAGATAATTAACTATGAAAACTGCATGGAAAGGTTTATAGTATCATATGCATACACCACAAAAAACTTAAGTTTCCCGCTGGCGGTAATATATGACAAATGGTATTTTCTGAAAAAGGATTAAAAAAAAAGACAATTTCACTAGAAATATTATGCATTTGAAAAAGCTATTGATTTATAAGAATATCCTTATTATAGTAATTTTAAAACAGTCATCACGGCTAGTCTACAGGGACAGATGTAAGTATCTCTCAAGTGCACTGGTAGAAGAGCAACAGCATTCCATTGAAGGCATTTATGTTAAACTTCCTTATTTTTGTAGAAAAATATTAAGAATAACATGCATTCGGCTCGAATGTTCTGTTACTAGTAATTGCAGCTATTTTACAAGGTCAAAGGGCATAATATAACACAATTTTAAAACTGCATTGGATTGCCAAGTTTGGAATAAAGGTGTATGATTTATATATGAAAACCTACATAATCCGATGGCACAAAACATGGACAAGCAGCACGTTAATTAGCACTTTGTTTGAAATGATTTGAATAAATACTTCTTCACCAAGAAATATTAAAATCGAAAAAGCTATGGAATTTATAAGAATTTGAACAGATTTTTTCTATACAAGAAACGGTGGCAATTTTTATTGGTCAATAGGAATATGATATGTATTCTGCAATTAAAAAAAAACCATTTCAACTTCAAGTTGCTTTACTTCAGAATGAATCAAAAGTATAATATTATGCATTTGACCCCTAATCTATATTTATAGTAATAACAGTGCTGGTTACATATTCTTTGAAAGAGTACCCTCAATTTTGATTTTTGACAAGTTTAGTGTAAATTGGCTTGGTTGCTTTAGGGAAGACTTGTGAGGAAAACAAAACGACGACAACTAACGACGGACAACAGACAGGACGACGAAGACATATGCCAGTTGTTGCTATACTTTACATGGCTTTAAAAAGCTCCAGTGAGCTAGAGAAGATTGTTCCATGTTGTAGTTATGTTAACAAATGCGACCAATTTCTAACACGGAAGTTGAATATACAAATACAAGGTTATCATTTAGACATTATCAAAATTGTTGAATAACATAAACAAAACATGTATACTATCGTTTACTATATACCAGTATGCGCTGCTAAGAGTTTTAAGTACCTATGATTGTTATATCAATTGAACTTTCTATTCTTTGACCATCTCAGCGGATTTCCTGTGTGATCTTTTATATTAGAGTATGTAAACACACTTTATTTATACATGTAAATCGATAACGAGACTTGAGGATGGCGGGAACTTTAAAAAGGACATAATAAAATCAAACCGTCCACAATGTGATAGGAAGGGGTCAGCTGAATTTTTGCAAATTGATAGGGACAGATCAATAACCATCATTTTTTGAAAAAAGCAATTAGTTTCGGAAAGGAAGTAAAAGAAAAAAGTTCGATTTCATTGCAAATAAGAGAACAAGTTAGATCGGAGACATGATATGTTTCTGGTTAAATGTAATACAGTGACTAAAGAGGTGTAGTTTTTGAGAAGTATGTTCAATTAAATTGGAAATGTGTTGAATAATAAAGTACTGATTATCTGGAATGCAGTAAAATTGGACCTCTTTTAACTGGTTGTGTTTTTATATATTGAATATGGTTAAACATTGAACATTTGAAATAAATACTAGAAAATCCAATATGACTATGAATGATAAATGAAATCTGTTTAACGATACCACGTTTCTTTTGAATATCAAAAGATCTAATCTTATACTTGTTCAAAGAGAGGTACACCTGCTCATATTACAGCAAATGATTCTTTTGGTCTATGAATGAAGCCTATTGGCAATTTGGTGTTCTGGGAAATGTATACAACTGACAACAGGCTTTTCAGTAAGATGCAATACTTGATATATTTTCCTATCTACATGACTGATCACGGTACTTCAGGAATTTGGAAATTTCTATAATGTAAGATATTCATAGAACATATAGAAAAGTACGGCCTACAAATTGGAAATGTAACAGCCCGAGCAAAAGTTAACGAAACCCCCAGAACATAGTTTGTGCCAAAAAATAAAACTATATGATATTTATTAAACAATTGCCTATATTCTGTAATGTCATAAGTATTCTGTAATGAGGTAAATTATGGCTATTGGAAAATTTTCACTTCCTTTAACCTGAGCCGTTTTATTATGTTCCGTCACCAGAGTTTTTAAATCAGCGCTTATTAGAACTGACAGATTGTATGAAATGAAGGTTGATATTTTAATGACTTATGTTGTAAAGTTCTGCCAGGCTTATAAACACCTTGGTGGTCTTATGGTAGCATGATTGCCCTTGAATGCAGGTTTTATTCCCTGGTGGGTCAAATCAAAGACATCAAAATTCTGTTTTGCTGCATTTAGAAAAAAAGAGAAAAATCTGCTTGGCTTGGGGTCAGAATCAGAAAAAAAATTGGCCAGATTGGGTGACCTTAAATGCTGGATTTGTGTGGTAGCAGGTTGCTCAAGCTATCCATCTATTTGGGATTTTATTAACTACAAAATTTATGAATGTTGTATATTTTGTATATTTACTTGCATGATCAGAATGTTCATTAAGAATTCTTCTTTGGCTGCAAAAAGTAAAATAACAAAAATACCGAACTCCAAGGAAAATTCAAATCGGAAAGTCCCCTATCAAATGGCAAAATGAAAAGCTGAAACACATCAAACGAATGGAAAACAACTGTCATATTACTGACTTGGTACGGGCATTTCCTGATGTAGAAAATGGTGGATTAAACCTGTTTTTATAGCTAGCTAAACCTCTCACTTGTTTGACAGTCGCATGAAATTCCATCATATTGACAACAATGTGTGAACAAAACAAACAGACATAATAGGTAAAAATGTCAAAAATAGGGGTACAGCAGTCAACATTGTGTTATGGTCTTAATCACTATAAAAACAAACAAATATGTCGACAAAGAAAAACAAAATGGCATATAGACAAAGCACATAAGCACAAATGAAAGACAAGAATACAAAAATGACCACAGCACAACAACACAATGGCGGGATGCATAAGTACCGAGCAACGCCAAAAGGATATTGACTTAACAGTAAAGGATAACAATTTATAAAGACAAATAAAAGAACACAAAAAGAACACAATTACACGTAATTAAGATAATAAACAACGTCAGTACCTACAATCTATACTATAATTTATACGTCAAGACCATCATGTATTATTTGTGAAGTTGATACGGAATATTTATCAACAAGGTCTTGGTATCTTCCGATGATTTGTTTTAGAAAAAGGATGAGACGTTCTTTGACATAACATTGGTTCATCAACCTTCTGCTCAGACACTAGTGACGTTTCATAAAGTCTGAGTAGCAGCTGCCAGCTCTTGAATACCGAATGAGTTGGGAAATGTATATACAATATGCAAGTTGGTATATTGCTACTAAGGTTGGGGAAATTAATAATTTCAAAATTAAAATCGTCTCGTTTGTCATTGATTCTGGTACTGAGATGACCGCTCATGTCAAATTCGAGGTATAAGTCTAAAAATGAGACGGAGGACGCCGTGTCTGTTGTTTCTTTAATTTCTAGTTCTGGAGGATATATTAATGGAACCCAATCAGAAAAGTTTGGATTGTTAATGGAAAGAATATCATCAATATATCTGAATGCGAAATTAAATGATCTGGCTTCTTTGATCTTCTTGTTTTTGACAAGTGTCTCAAGGAACTCCGACTCATATTAAAATAAGAAGAGGTCGGCAAGAGGAGGCGCACACTTGTTCCCATAGGAATGCCGACAATTTGTAGAAAAAGTCTACCTCCAAATTCAACAAATATGTTGTCAATAAGAAACTCCAGCATACTGATCACTTGTTCCTCTGTGTAGCATGTTTTACCTTTGTGTTCACTATTAACAAAATATGCCGTATGGTATCCCAAAGTAATAACTTTATAGCGTATACTACCATTTTTATATTGAAAAGCATTGTGAATTATTTCTTTTAGACGATTTTTTAATTTCACATGGAGAATGGTGATATACAGGGTTGATTATTCAAAAGTTTTTGTAAGACATTGACAGTTTTATCCAGCTTCTTAATTTGTGTATAAAAAAAATTGAAAAAAAATGTAAGAAATCCCTTTAATTGTTATACCATTTTGATTTTTTCCCCTAAACTTGCAAAATGCTTTGTTTTAATTATATTATAAACAGCTGGATGTTCCAACATTTAAAAACCAGATAAATTATCATATGCCTACAACAATAAGAAAAAAAAATCATTACTAGTATGTTTTTTCGATGTTGATATATACTACTGGAACAAAAGAGGAGATATATTTTTAAAAAAGTTTATTGTCAGTGGCGGATTCAATGGGTGCGTAGAGGGAGTATTTCCCTTTCGATTGGAAAGTATCATGATTTTTGGAATAAAACCGCCCAAATAATTTTCGGCGGTGTTTCTACCATTTTATGTAATTACGCCCCACCCCCTTTTAAAAAATCATAAGATTCGCCCCTGATTGCTGTAACAATAGTAAAGATATGTACACACAGTATGTGCACCTTTGTTGAAAGTTCTTATCTGTAGGAAACTGATGAAAGACCGAGGCATCAAAAATGTTCACAAAATAGCTTTTATGTTCTTATAATATACAAGATAATGGAGTATGTGTCCGAGCGAGAACTTCTCTATGTTCATTACTTAAGGAATATTTATCTTAAACTCATATTTCACTATTCAGCCCCATTCTACTATTTAGTCAGACGTCAGGCGCTACCCTGATATACCCTGTCTTTTGTTTTTGTCCTCTGGTTTTGTAGTTTACGTTTTTTTGTCGGGTACTTGATGACGGATAGCGTTTGACGTCTTTAGCCGAACAGTTTTATCTTTTTACTTTATTCAATTCCTGTGTGCTGGTTCATACTCTGGACGCCAGTCTTTGCTTATTTCAATTGGAAATACGGATAACAAAAAACAAAAAAAGAAACTCAGAAATGGACAAATACTAAATACCAAACTCGTTCAAAGGGTATCTACACGTCTCAATCTTCAAAATCGCTTATTTAAGAATACTACAATCGCTAACATTTTCAATAATAAAAATCTTGGTAACCCGTCTATCGATAAGTGTAATGACTTACATGTCTCCGTCTTTCCACCAACAATACCGTTAGGTCCACGTTAAATGGTCGCACATTTTCCTTCAATTTTGAAACTAATATAAATTGAAAAACTAACAGCATTATCTATTTACTCACATAAAACAAACCGGGATGCGGTATTCAGTACGTAGGTGAAACTGGACGCTATTTATCTAAACGCACGCAAGAACACCTTTATCGTTTTAAAAGACCCCATAAATTCAAAAGTATCATTTATCAACACCTTTAGAAGCACAATCATACTATTAAATATTTAACAGTTCAACCTTTAGAAGTAGCAGTCTGGGGAATCTCATTCAAAGTTTGTACGATCACGGAAAATAATTGAATTAAATTGGATTAAAAACTTACAGGCAGTCTATCCTCTCGGTCTTAATGATAATATCATGGGAATTGGTAATATATCTAGAACCGATTCTGTTAACATTTTGGATATAGTTTCTTAAACCAACAACCAAAATATTTCGGACCTAATTACTATTTCAAAAAACAACGACAGACATTACTGTTAACCAAGCTCTGTTCTTTACATGTTAATAAATTACATCAAATTTTAGAGGATTGCAACACAATTCCATACTGCAGTCCTAAGTATGAAATCGTCCAAATTATAATTGCATATTGTTATTCTAAACTTTTTCCCAAAATTGATCGCCTTGAAGATCATTAAAAAACATTTTATTAAAATCAAATATGTCAATAAAGGTTTTGATTTTGTAAATATTGCGGTATTCTAAATGATCATTCCGTAAAAGAACAAATTCCTGGTTTATTTATAATACTGAGCTCCCTCTTATTTGTTATGTTTACAAAAAATCTACCCGGAAATATGTGTTTAGTTATAGCGAAGTGTGTAAAGATGTTAATATCAGTGACAATACACATACGTCATGAAATTGCAGTAATTTCAAATTCATGTTTGTCCTCAGTTCCCATGTTATAACAGGAGACCTTAGAACGTCCATGACCGAGAGTTGACATCATTCCTCAGTAAAGGACCTAAATATAACCCCCCGTCAATTATTAATTGGAATGAGTGTCGTAACATCATCCACGACTCACTTCGTACTTACTGCTCGAAATGGATAAAACGAGAAAAAGCTGACAAAAAAACCTTAGATTCTTTTTTTAATTCAGTAATGAACAAAGTGGATATTCGTATTAAACATTTTAAAGAACATTTTACTCCTTACAACAACCATAATAGCCCTATCTCTCGTATCAAACATAAGCTAAAAGAACTCGCCAAGGAATCTGTTTTTGTCACGGCTGATAAGGCTGCTAATAATATCATTATTGTTTGACGTAAATTTTACACTGAGGTTCTGTAAAAGGAAATCACGAATTCACCAACATTCCAACTGACTCCATTTTCGAAAAATGACATCTGTAACAAACATAAAGTTTTAGCTACCTCTTTACAAGCAGAACCAAATACAATGAAAGTTCCAACTATGTACTAGCTTCCGAAGCTGCACAAAACACCTTACAAATATAGATTTATTTCGTTTTCAAGCCATTGTTCCACTACTAAACTGTCTATTCTACTTACTAGTACACTTGGTACATTCAAAAACTTTGTAATAAATTGTTCAAATAAGGCCTTTGAAAATAGTGGAATTGATTACTTTTGGAGTGTCAAAAATTCGTTGGAAGTACTTGATAAATTGCATGCTTATATTGGTGATTTCGTATCTGTTCAAAGTTTAGATTTTTCTACCCTATATACCACTTTGCCTCATAATCTTATTAAGAAAAAATTCACACACCTAATTAAATGGGCATTTAAAAAGTCAGAATGTGAATATATATGTTTTAACTCTTTTAGGTCATTTGTTAGTAACAACAGACACAAGAACTATGTCAATTGGACCTGCTTTGTTACGATAACTGCCCTTGAATTGTTACTAGATAACATTTTTGTTCGCTATGGAGATTCCATATATCGTCAAGTTATCGGAACTCCAATGGCGACTAACTGTGCACCACTTTTTGCAGACCTGTTTCTGTATTGTTATGAGTTACAATTGATGACTAAAATTAGCAAAGACCCATCGAAACAACATCTGATACAAAAATTTAATAACACGTTTAGATATTTTGATGATATATTGGCTCTCAATAATGACGACTTCAGTATGTACACTAAAGATATTTATCCTGCTGAACTGACTTTAAATAAAGCTAAGACTAAAATTAACACTGCCTTTTCCTGGATCTTGATATCTATATCGTTAACGGGAAGCTAAATACAAATGTAACACAATTTATGATAAAAGAGATGATTTTTCAGTTCCTATTGTTAGTTATCCATTTTTAGATGGTGACGTTCCATTGTCACCATCTTATGGTGTTTATATATCTCAACTTGTTCGATTCGCTCGTGTATGTAACAACGTATTTTATTTTAACGAAAGAAACCTCTGTATTACTGAAAAAGTATTACACCAGGGTTTTCGATATCACAAGCTAGTCAAAACATTTACTAAATTTTATCATCGGTACAAGGACATCATTCGTAAATATAAATCAACATGCAGACATCTTATACGTTCAGGTATTTCACATCCAATCTTTTATGGTAATTTTCTATACAATGCACAAAAATGTCGACATTCACCTCAAAAGATAACCAAACCTTTAAACAGCCTTATTCAGAAGGGATATAGTTACGATACTGTTGTCAGGTGATTAAAGATGGCATATTTTGGTATTATTATTGATTCACTCATATGGACTTTGCATCGGAAATTAACACATTTATTCTAAAACCAGTTGTTGGCATGATATGGGTTATGTTCTTTTCATATATTTTATGATGGTATGATACTAAACCCCCTAATGGGAGGGATTGTACTTGATTTTCATATGATGAAGACATAATCTTTCAATCAGTTTAACTGAGGTCTGGAGCTGGCATGTCAGTAAATGCTAGTAGTCCTTTGTTCATTTATGTATCATTGTCATTTTTCCGAGTTTCTTTTGTTACCTATTCTGACATCGGACTCGGACTTCTTTTAAACTGAGTTTTACTGTGCGTATTGCTGTGTGTTTGTTTATTCTACATTAGCTAGATGTATATAGGGAGGGTTGATATCTCACAAAACATGTCTAACCCCGCCGCATTTTTGGGCCTGTCCCAAGTCAGGAGCCTCTAGCCTTTTTTAGTCTTGTATGTTTTTTAATTTAAGTTCATTTATATGTTTTAGAGTTTAGTGTGACGTCCATTTTTCATTGAATTAGTACACATCTTTGTTTAGGGGCCAGTTGAAGCCCGCCCCCGGATGCGGGATGTTTCCACTGTGTTGAAGATCCATTGGTGGCCTATGGCTGTTTTCTGCTTTTTGGTCGGGTTGTTTTCTCTTTGACACATTCCCCATTTCCAGCTATTAAAAGATTACGTTACAAGGTAATTTAAACAAATGACACCATCAATTGTCTCCATCAGCTGCTTACATCCACGTCATTTGGACTGCGATGGATAGTTGTCTCATAACCAATCATACCATATCTCCTTATTTTTATAATCATAAAGGAGTTACTGTCTTTCCCAATGTTTAGATAACAGTTTTAGACCTATTTAAGCTTGTTTTACTATAATAAATATAGGAAGATGTGGTATAAGTGCCAATGAGACAACTCTCTATCCAAGTTACAATTTATAAAAGTAAACCATTATAGGTCAAGGTACGGCCTTCAACACGGATAAGAATTTTAAAAACTGAAATTGATAGACAAAAAATAAAAACAGCAATAAATGATCAACAATTCAAAATCTACAAAAATACCAATATGACTGAAGCAATTAATTGTCTCCATGTGTATGTTATTGTCCAATGTGAAAAAATAAAACAAAAGAACAGCTTTATTTATGTTTTCATTATGTAATCGTTCATTGTGAAAGAAACCAACTTTTACAATATATCATATTGTCCATGATTACAAAACCAACTGCCCATAGACACAAAGCAAAAAAAAAATCGACTGACAGTTTGCACTACTCTTGATAACAGCCACCGTATTTTACTGTTTTGGCATTTTTTTATACAAAGCTATCAAATAAGTGCAATTTATCATTTTATTAGTTTTATTTACAACAGAAGAATATGACATCATTTAAGGCTGTGTCATCCCCTGAACTGCCTTGTTGTCCCTCTACCCTTGTCTGTAAGCCACAGATTGCAGTCCTACGAGGACAAGTACTCCAGCCACTAAAGTGTCCCCAGAAACCACTTCCGCCAATTTCATATCCAGGCCAATACCAATTTAAAGCTTTACACCTGAATTTTACGTAGTTGGCTGCGGTGTCATCTCCTCTTCCCTAAAATATAATTTGTTTCTTGTTAAAATAATTGATCGTTGAAAAGGTCTTATAATTCAGATAAAGAAGGATAACATTTCATAATTCACATAATTAAAAATAAGATAATTTTGTTTAGAATGATTATCATAATCCATCAAATAAACAATTCATTTTTATTCATAATACTCACCATTGTGTTTAAGTAGAGAAACTGACGGTGTATACTATCAAGAATGTCCACTCAAAAGCAGACTATTTTTCATACATGTATAAAACCATGAAATAAAAATGTCGGCCTTCAATTTATGGTTAGAAAACTAGTAAATATGGCGATCACGTGGTTTCCATTGTTGCTTTTAAAACTGAGGTCTAGCCGGGTCGGTTTTCAACTGTATATTAATTAGTGTGTTCGTCCGTATTGTATTCGTAACAATACTAAATCCTTGTTTTCGTAACATCTATACCAAAGCGTGTATTTTCTTGACAATTAAAAACAAATATTCGGTCTCAATTGGCATTGTGTACCCTCCTGCTTTTATTTTTTTTCTGATTAATATTTGAGGTTTCCAAATCTACAAACATGACAAATAGGCGTAGGCATTTTGTATCTCCAACTCCCCCTAAAGAAATTGAGTCGATTGTGATACAGGATTCAAAGATTAATCATAACATAACCATAACGCAATTATGTATCAATTATAATTTATTTTCTGAACCGTTGTTTTTTGTTTGAGAATAACATGGACATAGCCATGTTTGCCTTTATGTTTAATGAGGGTATCTATTTGAATTGTATCAGTATAAACTTAAATGGCCATGGATTTTCAGATATGGGGATGGGAATATGAGTTTTACGTAGCCCAAGCTTAAAACACAATACAGTTATTTCCTAATTAGATTTCATATTTAAAGACAGATTGGAAGAGTTTTGAAAATAAACCGGGGTGGTATCAAACAGACTCCTTCGAAAGTAACCAAACTCATTATGACGGGCTTGGGCAGATGTCAAATTACGTTAATAACTTAACACTGCAGTAATGAACCAGTTGTGACAAAAAGGGAATGAAAAAGCTTTAAAATATGTTGAATGCAAATAAATTGTAATCTAATAAACGAAACACTGACTTTAGTATTACTAGTATAAATTATTAAAAACACTGACTTCAGTATTACTAGTATTAATTATTAAAAACACCGACTTTAGTATTACTAGTATTAATTATTAAAAACACTGACTTTAGTATTACTAGTATTAATTATTAAAAACACTGACTTTAGTATTACTAGTATTAATTATTAAAAACACTGACTTTAGTATTAGTAGTATTAATTATTAAAAACACCGACTTTAGTATTACTAGTATTAATCATTAATTACCTGTTTGCCTTCTACTTGTAGAGAGAAAGATGTAAGTAAATGCGTTCGCTATCCACATTTCATAAAACCACTCCATCCACCCCATGGTCCATACCCAGATGTTACTGTGAATCCATTATTTGATCGTCTTTTTTTTGTACCACAGAGCAGTTTTATACCATTCAGCGAGGTATCATCTCCTCGACTTCCTTGCTTCCCTTCAATCTATTTTAAAATTGAACCGAAAAATTTTATTTGTAAAACATCATCCGATCAACATCCAATCTACCCTTATTTTATTCTTTGATGATAATGATGATGATGCGGATTGATATTAATGGTCTAGTGACAAATGTTACATTCATATCCTCACGAGAACATAACGATGATGTTAATGTAAAATGAATATGAACCCTGCTTTGTACTAAACCGACATGCTGAGCCGAATATTACATATGAACTGTCCGCAAGAAGACATGTGTTCCTACCCGGAGACTTTATTGTGAGTTTGAGCTGATTTGTCTTTTCTCTTACTCCTAAATGACCGTGCTCAACGGAGTAGCAGCTAATACCAATTATAAAGTCTTTGGTTGACCCAACCCACATCATCCCACACTTGTAGCAATTACGCTACCATATATATATATATATATATATATATATATATATATATATATAAATAAGAAGATGTGGTATGACTGCCAATGAGACAACTCTCCACAAGAGACCAAATGACACAGAAATTAACAACTATAGGTCACCGTATGGCCTTCAAGACCACATAGGCGGTTTAAATGAAGTTGAAGTAACAAGTTTTGTTATATATATAAATTAAGATGGTTAATGTATTAACCTCAATGGCTACTTCGTATTATAAAACACGTGTACATAGAATTTAAAAAAATCTCTTTTATTATCCAATGCTACAGGACATTTACTGTTATTGAATGATTATAATCCCATTCTCTAAATTCGCTGAGAGCCTTTTCGTAAGCAGTTACCATTAAATGACCCCTCTCGTAAATCTGCAATCGTACTGCACAAGTTCGATGGGAAAGAATAAGTCAACTAACACGAACAGAAGGCAGTATTCGCTGATTCTGAAAGACAGTGATTATACACCAAATCATTGGAAAACTGTTATGAAAAAGCTTAATATTTTACATTACGTGTATGTTTCATCAGAATCCGTACCTTTGATTGGCTGACCACAATCGGGAGGCATTCCAAAATCATATTTAATTTTTCAATAAAATGCAACTTTTATGATTGCAAGTGCTTCCCATGACAATGTCACAGTAATGCATAGGAAAACAAACGAAAAGCATGATATAACTCATTATTTGATGATTGTAGCATAAAAATGTAAATGTAAGAATCGAATGAATCTTTTTGTAATTTTATAGGTTATTAAAAGGTTTCACACCACCAATTTAGAACGTATGTAAAAGTAGCCCTTCCCTGACAAAAATAGTGCTTTTGATATCATTGTTTACTTAAACTAACCATCAAATTTGATGAAAAAAATGAAACTGTTGATGAAAGAGAAATACATGTTGAGCATTTTGAGTTAAAATTTACTTGTCCATGAGATTGCATTAAAAATTGAGGATTAATGCGCTCCATAGAATACTTATTTAAGATTACCAGAAACCAGCTAGCTAGGGGTTATCTTTAATGTATGTGAGGTTAGCTGCCGGTTCGTTATTCGATATTCAATATCCAACCGGCTGCTAGCAGTCGGTTCGATTTTTAAATTTAAGTTAAAAATAATAAAAAAAAAAAAAAAATATTCTTTAAAATCAAAAGCATGATAGTCATAGTTAAAAGCAGTAAAAAGATATGTAGGAAATCGTTTTATGACCCCTTCGAGTATATATTAAAATATAAAGCTTATGTAAATCGCACATTTGTTTTTTTTAAATATAGATTTTTATCAATAAAATGCAATCAAAGATGCACTTTTATACATGCTATTTCTAGAAACAAAAACAAACGATCACTCTAGTAACTTTAAAAAAATATAAAATAAGAAAGAATTATGGAAAGCAAAACAAAAAGATATTTTCCAGCAAAAAATCGTCTAAAATTCAGGTTAAAGGGCACAGGGTCTTTCAATGTCCAGAAAATTGAATGATCTTTTAGACTATGTTTATCTGTATATATTTTGAATATCAAACTGGCTCTTTGAGCCCTCCATAAATATAGAAGACAAAAAGTTTACCCAAATTCCTTTTGATGTCATTTATATCTATATATCAACTAACTATACACATACTATTATGAAGATTGAGAGATCAGGAAGATCTAGCCAACGCCCTGTGCCCTTTTACCTGAATTTTGACGATTTGTGTTTGAAAAGTAACAGTTTAAGCCCTCCGTAATATTTGATTTACATAAGGGTTTATATTTGAGCACAACGAGAATTAACGATAACTTGAATTGGTCACAAAAAGATTTCCTACATCTCTTGATTTTTACTCCTTGTAATTATTACTATCATGCTTTTAATGTTATTAAAATTTAAATTCGTATTAGATACAACTAAGAAAATTTGAATATCGAACCGACTGCTAGCAGCCGGTTGGGTATTGAATATCGAATAACGAATAACGAACCGGCCGCTAACTTCACATACATTTTAAGTAGTAGTTACCTTCGGAACGTTGGTCTTTTACGACAAGACTTTAAACATGGTTTGAAAATTGGCATGTAGAAAGGTGATACATGTACAATTCAGGATATACCTGGTTTCTAAGAAGCTAAACTTAAGGTAAAATATTGAGAAAGCTGTGAAAATTGAAAAATGTGGTTGTTTTCTATTAACTCTTACCGAATGAGTAAATTTTTTGTCGTTTATACATTATGGATTCGTAATAAAATGTAAATAAAGGCAACAATAGTATACCGCTGTTCAAACGCACAAAAAGTACTTTTTTAAAATCATATGCATGCATCGGTCCAAATATTGCGTAAACATTATAATCACCCCAAACCCATTCCATATAACATAAAGAGTTATACGGGGACATAGTGATTGAAGAGAATAAGACAACATGTTTTTTTTTTCATTGAACGAATTCCATGCATAACGTACCCTTAAGCTGTAACCTACAGCATATTGACCAGAAGGACAAAATCTTGGTTCGTGCCAATCACCCCATACACCACCGTTGTTACTTCGTAATGCTTTTACAACCTGCCTGGGATACGATGCCTCACCAATACACACGGCTAAACTGAATAGTACCAGTTGGATAAACATTCTAAAAAATATAATAAAAATGTCGGACATAGGAAATTTACATCGGCAATTGTCTGTACCATTAGCGAATTAAGGAGACGACCATTTGATATTCGTTGGTGTGGGGAGGAGGATTTTGTCTCTGACAGAATATTATTTTCACATTTTGCGCGTCTCACCTATTTTCATTTTTTGCGCGCGTTCAGAATATTCACCCTACCCCAGAATATCAAATTGTCGTCCCCTAAGGTTCCCTTAGGATTAGCTTCTATATTTTCACTAAAAGTGCGATTGAGATGAGTTGTGTGTGGATGACATTGCCCTGTAGATTTGTTTTTAATTGTCGCCTTTTAGGTGTAGGTTTGATATTGTTCTCCTAGGAAAATATTGATACCCCAGTCTTAACGTTCTGGAATCTATATATAATAATGATAAATCATGGTCATTCCATGCGCATATGATAATGATTCGCTAATGGTTTACCCTTATTTACTAGGTTAATTTTGATTTGTCAACTGCAAACCATATAAAAATAAGAATTTTACATAGTAAACAAATCATCAAAAATTTAAAAGAGACCACAGAGGATAATAAGAGGATAATAGGCTGGTTCTCCTGCAACATACGGGTTTCTGAGGTTTCATTGAACTAGTACACATTTTTGTTTAGGGACCAGCTGAAACCCGCCTCCGGGTGTGGGATTTTGTCGCTGTATTGTAGACCCATTGGTGGCCTTCATCTGTTTTCTGCTCTTTGGTCGGGTTGTTGTCTCTTTGACACATTCCCCATTTCCATTCTCAATTTTATCTGAGATACACTTGTTGTCTTTTATCTGTCAGAGCCAAACAGATAAAGGATAGGGAACCAGTCTAAAGGGGATAATACTTTTTCTTTTCACCAATTACTAATTACTAAATATTATATTAATTTATGATAATTAGCAACATAGACAACATACCTGTCACACGATGTTATTATAATTTTGAATAATTCTAATACTAGTTGGACGAACCAGAGTTTTATTTCACGATTTCCTTTTCTAAGAACTTGTAAAACTGTAGAACAACATGTAGGATCAATAACAAATGTTGCATTCAAGTTTCAAGTATCAGGGAAAATAAATGACAAATTTATCCGATAAAAATTACGGTTAAAAATTGATCATAACACATTTTTTCAAAAGTGCAAGAAATATTCTTGTGTTAGACTTCACTGTCTATTTTCCATTAAAAAATGATAACAAAAAAAATCGAGTTTACTATGATCTCTTACTGCTAGCAGTAATAGCATTCTAAAAATAATCATAAAAATCTAAATCGTATTTCGGATATTTACCTCGGCTAGTGTCTTGACCATAAAGGTTAGCGAATTAAGGGGACGATCATTCGATATTCGTGGGTGTGGGGAGGAGGATTTTGTCTCTGACGGAGTATTAATTTTTATCTTTTGCGAGTCTCGCTTATTTTCTTTTTTTTTTGCGCGCGCGTTCGGAATATTCACATCCCCTCACCACGGAATTTCAAATGGTCGTCTCCTAAGGTTCTCTCAGAACACCACGGAATATCAAATGGTCGTCTCCTAAGGTTCTCTCAGAACAAGAGAGGCGAAAGATTCCGAAGGGACATTCAAACGCATAAGTCGAAAATAAACTGACACACCATGGCAAAAAAAAGAAAAAGACCAACAGACAAACAACTGGACACAAGTTTCTATATTTTCACAACAGTGAGATTGAGATGTGTTTTGTGTGGATTACATCACCTTGTGGATTTCTTTTTAATTGTGGCCATTTAGATGTAGGTTTGGCATTGTGCTCCTAGGAAAATATTGATACCCAAGTCTAAATAAACGTGCTGGAATCTATATATAATATAATGATTAATCATGGTCTGGTCAATCCATGCGCATATGATAATGATTCGCTAATGGTTTTCCCTTATTTACTGGGTTTATGTTAATTTGTCAACTGCAAACTGTATGCAAAATAAGAATTTCACATAGTAAATAACTCATCGAAAGTTCCAAAGAGACCAAAGAGGATAATAAGAGAATAATAAACGTTCCTTTTTTTTTTCTTTTCAGCATTTACTAATAACTATTTTAAACATTTAAAATAAATTAATTAATTATTATAATAATCAGAAAAAGACACAACATACCTGTTTGCACGATGTTATTATAATTTAAATAATTATAATACTAGTGGAATGCACCAGAGTTTTATTTCACGATTTGCTTTTCTAAGAATTTGTAAAACTGTAGAACAACATGTAGGATCAATAACAAATGTTGCATTTAAGTTTCAAGTGTCAGGAAAAATAAATAAAAATTTAACCGATAAAAAAACGGTTAAAAATTGATGATAACACATTTTTTTGAAATGGCAAGACATATTCTCGTGTTAGACTCCACTGTTAATTTTTTATTAAAAAATGATAAAAAACTGAGTTTACCATGATTTCTTACTGCTATCAGTAACAACTAATTGGAAGTTTATGACAACATTTGTCGGCTACATTCCGACAAAAACAACATAGCAAACAGGTCGTCGTGTGAATCTTATAATGATGTATTTCCCATTTGGTAATAGTGGCATAAATTTAACTTTAAGTTTTAAAGCTCAGTATCATAAATATTTGACTGCGACATAAAAAGTTTTAAAGGAAACGAATTTACGTACATGAAGAGTAACGCTTTTTTTTTTTTTATTGTTTTTTAATAAACAAACAACTTAGATAAATAAAGCATCACCTTTTTTGGAGATATAACATTTCACTACACACAGTGTAACAGTGTAGTTTTAGAAATTTATCCCGATATCTATTGGAGATAGACCATCGATTTTTAACTTTGTAATATCCCTAATTCTATACTGCTGGATTTGCTAATAATTGCTCAAAGATTGAGTTCAAATCATGCACACCGTTTAATGTCGTAGAACTAATCTATATGAAACTTAACCACGACGTTAGATAAATAGTTTTATTATACTTCACGTTAAAATGCCAGATATGGATCGGCTAATACGAGGGAGATAATTTACTCCATCCCATGGCTCAGCGAGAGACAGTTTTTTGAATGTCATCCAATTATGCAGGCCATAAAAAAATGATAATTTAAAGGACAGTGAACTGAATGTATATCAATACTTTTAAAGACAATGCTCAAGTTCTACGTTTTGGCCTCAGAACTTTAACATAGACTGTCAAAAAAAGACATCTTCCTTCATTTTTGTTGTTTTTCTAATAACTGTAACGTTGTTATGTACATGTCGTCATAGCTAAATACTTCCAATAAATAAAATTCAAAAGGCAATAATGATAGAACATTCAGTATAATAAATTAAAGATGCACTTAGCTGAGAGGGCGATAGAGCAGATTGGTACCCCTCGAAAAAATATTTTCAACTGTGCCTTCCTCTCGGTTGACAATGGTTTCTCGGGGTAACAATCTGCTCTATCACACTCTCAGCTATGTGTTATTTATATAGAAAGTACACGATATCTTTAAAACAATGTTTTTTCTTGGAAAATGCGAATCCGATTGCATTCTAACACTGTCTTAAATTTATCAGCAACTAGGCAATGTTTTAATGATTAGTTCATCCGACGGAAGACCAATATGAGCTATGAATGAATGAATGAATGAATATGAATGAATATTTTAATATTAAAGTGCAACCTGAATAAAAACAAACAATTATATTCACATATACAAGTGATTTTCAGCCAGCCAATTAGGCTGATGCACTGTCATGATATGATACACATTATGTTTCCATTATTGAAAATAAAAATAAATAAATAAATAGATATATGTAGGACTCAAATCTATGGTGGGTTCCAAATCTATGGCGGATTCCTAATCTATGGTAAATATGACGTCATGCCATCCCAAATCTATGGCAAAAAATTTACACTCCTAATCTATGGCAAGTTTTTTAAAATTTTCTAATTATGACGTCATGCCATCCCAAATCTATGGCAGATTTTTTACAACCCAAATCTATGGCAAATTTTGTAATTTCCAAATCTATGGCGGATTTTTGTTGATTTAAAATCTATGGCAAATGTCGTGCAAATGGAAAACAATGCAGTATATACGACCAATGACTTGTCTAAAACAAATGGAGATAAATGACAACGTAAGAGTGTGTTTAAACACTAGTGAAATAAACATGTTATAGCTGACTATGCAGTATGGGCATTGCTCTTTGTTGAAGGCGGAACGGTGACCTATAGTTGTTAATTTCTGTGTTTGGTCTCTTGTGGTGATTTGTCTCATAGCAATCATACATGTCATACCACAACTTCTTTTGTATATTGTATAAATTATAAACCACATCATGACAGTAACCAAATTTATAAATGATCAATTTAAAAAGCTTAATAAAGACTTCATGATCTTGAAATGATGTGTCCCGTAAACATAAGCATTTTCTACTCTGTGCATGGTCATGTTTAACCGACACATTAACCAAATAGTAAGTCATTAAACAACAAGAAAGCAGTTTCTGTTTGTAAAAAAAATAAACACTTTGACTCTTCACATGCTATTTATTTTCTCCTGATCACATCTTTTTAATTTGATGACGATTTAAATCAAATTTGTATCCTGTAATTTGATCTGTCACTTTATACACTTTTCCAGCAGTAGACGCTGAAATTGAGTCTATGACCCCTTTCCTGAAATATCCTGTACTGAAAACTGCGGTGCCTTTGTTCATCGCAGGATTCGGTCTGTACATCACATTTTGTCCCTCTTCCGGATAGTAGGTAATGTCTTCCCTCAAACCATCGGAAAACTGCTCTAGTGGAAAAGCTGAAATTGTTTCCCGGTGAATTTGTTTATAAAAATCGGTGAGTCCAGTGTTAAATACCGGTAACTGTTTTTGATTTACATTCTACAAAAAAAAATAGTCTATAAGTATAAACAAAAAGTATATGTTGGCTGAGTGAAATCAAATCTAAATCATCTAGATAGATATACGAAGATGTGGTATGAGTGCCAATGAGGCAACTCTCCATCCAAGTCACAATTTGTAAAATTAAACTATTATAGGTTACAGTACGGTTTTTCACACCGAACAGCAAGCTATAAAGGGCCCCAAAAATGACTAGTGTAAAACCATCAAACGGGAAAGCCAACGCGGTTTACTTATTTTTAGGTTAAAAAAATATATGCAAAGTATAGCAGTTTTAAAATAAAGTTGATATACTAGTAATAACCGTACAAAACAAACTAAAATTCAACTTTTACATTTTGCATTTGAATGGTTCAGCATTATTAAAAGTCTTATACATGTACATGTATACGTGCAGTCGCAACACTTTTAAAGATTTCTATCAAATGCATCAAATTTTATGTTATATAGGACAATATTTTAAAAAGTACATCATACAGTTACAAACCTATTCTATACAACAGTATGTAAACAAAATTATTACATATTACGCTTACATAACGAGCAACAAACTACTAAGGCACAAAGTTTAAAATATAGGACATTTAAAGACAAATCCCAACAAAATCACATACCTGTGGATGAACTGGTACATTTTCTTTATTTTGCTCGTTATAAAACTTTCTCTGATACATTTGTTTGTAGTATGGACTAACATTTTCCTACAAAAAAATAAACAGAATATTTCGTGTTATTTTGTGCACAATTTATCACTTAATATTTCACTGAACAAATAATACATTAATACACATGTAAAAATATTCGTCTAATCTGTAGGTTATACGGAAACTCATACAACAATAGGTTTTTCTATTTTAAAAAAAAAAATATTTATGTATTGGTTAGGAACAAGTACGTACTCTTAAGATCTAATGTGTTGGTTTTCTTTCTTCTTCTTTTTTTGGCGTGTGTTGAAAATTATAAACAAAGTAATGCACAAGGCTTAACATACTTACTTGCAAAATAACAGTTTGTGAAAATGATGGTTCGGGCACTACAAAATCATTTTCCTGGGTACAATCTGGAGGTAAATTGCCATGTTCTTCATTTACGCCATGGTCTAGAATGTTCATCGCCTCTGCAAAATAAAAACAAAAACTAATTAATTAATTTACAGTTAAATATAGCTAAGCATATGTTAAATTTGCATTTATTTTTATCACATGTAAAACGAGTAATTGTATTCATTTTTAGAATTAAATTTATAATTTAAATTTGTGTACTTTTATTAGTTTTAAATAATGATTGATTGTTTGTTGGTTGCTTAACGTCCAGTGGCAAATATTTCATGCATGTTCAGGACGATAGCTTTAAGTAAAAAGTTCATGCATATGTGTTTAAATCTTACCATGTAAAGTGAGTTCCTCTTCATTATTATTTGTACTGGCGAATTGGTTTCCACCTGAAGACTCAGTTAAGGATGAGTGTAGCACATCAACAGATACTTCTGGGAGTTCTTCCTCTGACTCATTTTCATCAACATCTAATTCGGCGTGCTCTAAAAAGTCTCGTTCTTCTTTAGTAAGAGAAGCATAAGGTACCTTTAAATACAAAGGTATGTTGAAAAGAAGATGCTCTTTTTATAATAAAAAATAATTTTCAATTTGTTTGGTGTGAAAAAAACCGTTGTTTTGTTGGTTTGTCTTTATTTCCTGACATTCGGCAAGTAATAATTTTTAAATAAATCTATAATGTAAAAATCTATCTCAACCGCAAGTTAAAAAACAAATACTGATATGAATAATAACCCTAATCAATTTTTTCTTAAGACACGTCTCATGATAGCTTATTTACACAGACTAGACTGCATATTCTTACAACTTAAGTCACTAGACGGCACATTGTCACGGTAAGAGACATAACATTGACACAGCCTACGGCTAAAAATAGTACATTTGCAAACTAAGGCGCTATAGTGCACATGACACATTCTATGGTACTTGAATGCACATTGACACAGCCAACAGCCCTAAACGGCACATTGACAGCCTACGGCCCTAGACGGCACATTGACATAGCCTACGGATCTAGACGGCTAATTGACACAGCATACTGCCGTAGCCAGCTTATTGACACATCCTACGGTCCTAGACGACTTATTGACACAGAATAGCTGTAACATAAAGTAAGAATACTACTACAAATGACCTAATTACTAAGATTTTTTTATAACACAAAGACTCAATTTTTAATTTCCGAAATAATAATTTAAATAAAATTAACGAAGTAAAGTAAATACCTGATCATCAAGCGGCACAGCAAAATTTGGTCGACTAAAAAATAGCTGATATGGAGTCTTTGGACGTGTGGCCTTGTTTAGCCTGTTGT